AGAGAGAGAGAGAGAGAGAGAGAGAGAGAGAGAGAGAGAGAGAGAGAGAGAGAAGGCGGCATGCTTGGCTCCTTGCACGCCACCCACAGTAGCCAATCACTCCAAGGATTGGTCTATACGTGTGGCATACAGGGAGCCAGGCACAACCCATTTCACCTGTACTCTTCCCACCATCACCTGTTCTTCTCTGCATGGGTGAAAGAAAGAGAGTAGAGAGAACAACCCTTTGTCATCTCTTCTTCCTCTCAACGAGAATGAAGCCCCATAAAACTCTCCCCATGGATACAAAGAAACACCACTGGATCTGCAAACCCAATGCCACCTGATCTCTGAAGAAAAAGAGGCAAAGAGAAAGTGGAGGAGAAGATGAGGGACTACGGTTGAGGTGTAGAAGTTTTATAGCCCTGGAGGAGGAGGAAGAGGAAGAGGAGGAAGAGGAGGAGGATTTCCTTACTCAAAAGCAAATAGGCATTAAAATATCACCCAAAGGAGGCACTTTTTGTGGTGCAAACTCACCACCCACTGCGGGAAACCCCATCCCACCTTCCCAAACTGAGCAAACCCTAGCAGGGGCTTAGCTGGTTCTCGACATGGACATGGATTTGGGATCGAGCTTGGAGAGAGACGAAGGGGGAGAAACTGTGAAGGTTTTGGTTCCCAGCTTGCAGGGCTTGAGGGCCAACAAATAAAGCTAGCTGCTGGCTTTCTTCACTCCCTTCTGTGGGATCTTTCTCTTTCTCTTCTGCGCTGGGGTTTGTCTGGTGCACTTGGATTAACTTCAGATTCTTGCAGCCAACCTCACCCTACCAATCAGGGCAAAAAAGAAGACAATATTCCTTATGTATTCTCAACACTTTTGACATTTTCTCCTCATACACATGATGTATTTCTTCTATTTACAATGCTTGCATTATATAGTCAATATATATAGTTGAGACAACTAAGCAGAGTATAAACTTTTTGGTGTAACCATACAAAGTGGGTTACCAATTGCTTAATGTTCATACAAACTCTACTTCTCCCATTTGCTCAGCTCATAAGTGCAGCTAATGAAGCAGTAAATAAGTCAATCTAGCATTGACTGAGAGCCAAATATTAACTTCTGAATGGACAACAATAACTAAATGATGAGATAATACATATCATGTATTCGCTTATAACTTTCTAGCTTAAGCTTTTTCAAGTTATATGGTTGCATTTCCCAAGGTCAAAACAAAATGATCTTTAAGGAGTGGAGAATGAATTTGTTTGCATCATCTTACCTTGTCAACTAATGTCTCAAGTTCTCATCATTTCTTTTTGGAGGTGTATTCAATGAAGATGTTAGTGCACATATAGTTATTTAATCAAGTCATATCTGCTACTTTCTCTGCAGAAAGAAGAGAAGAGAGTTGGAAGACTGCATGCGGTAGGATGTCATTGCTGCATGTGTTTTGATGATGATGATGATCCTAAAACTCGAGGACATATCTCAGGCAACTGATGCAATTCCACAGTGAGCAATTAAGGTTAATTCGGAAAGATGAATGCTTTTCGATGCATATATGTAGTTCTCATAATGCAAAGGAGAACCAATGGCAGAAGACATTAAGGCATCGACAATTTCATTGTTTGGTGCAGAAAACCATCTGTTCATGCATACTCGCTGAGTTCACAGAAGGCATGACCAAAGAAGACATGCATGGAGTTCTTAAACCAGCAATCTGGTAGATGCAATAAACCATGGTAGTCTCGATCACCTGATGAACATTCAATACCATCTGCATCGGCACTCAAACCTGGCAAAATGACCCATGTATTTCTCACATTTAGTGTGCCAAATCCACCGACTTCTCTGCTGCACGGAACACGAAAGTCATGGTGACATGATTAACATCAAGTTAACGAGAGAGAAATCTAGTGTCTGCGCCATCAACAACTTCCACGGTGGTTCATGATTCTTCCGTTCCGGGCAGCAAGCTCTCGGAAAGCGGTTTGTTCCTTGAACTCGGACGTCTTTCGAGAGCACGAGTTGTGTTGTTTCGATGCATTTATCCCTTGCGAGACTAGTCCAAAGGAGATCCACCGAAGCTCTGTAGACGTGTCACGAGAAAGCCATTAGAGCTCCTTTTCATGTTTGACCAGGAAAAGAAGGGATGGAGAAAACATTTTGGTTGGTCCGAGATCTCTTTCGACGCTTACCAGAATCAAAACTCTTCTTTCCACTGTTGTGATGAATGAATCAGGTGATAGCTCAATTACGTGGGTGTTTCTCCCCAATCCCCTAACAACATCTCAGTTCATTACCTTCGGTCAAACGATGGAGATCAGCACCTGCAGCTCACCTTGCTGAGATGCAAGATTATTCAAAGAAAGCAGGAAGAGAAGGAACAAAGGGACACTAATGATTCTCGAGGCATTCCTATCAAAAACGAAAGTGACATGGTTGACATCATCTCTCGTGCAAGGCGGATCAGATTGGATCCAACTCAAATCTGATGGCCGGAGATCACCACTTTTGGCACCATCAACGCTAAACTCGATCTAATTCAGGTATTGATTGATTACATGGAGGAAGAAGGGTCAAACGGTCAACGGAAAACGGTGGTGCTTTACATGATAGCATCATCTGCCGTCGAGGACAGCGATGGACGGTGGAGATGGGGAGTGGTGTCGCGCCAAGCGCGGCGTCGCTGTAAGATTCGGTGTCCTTTTCCCGACAAAAGGGAGGAAAACTAAGACGACAGGCGAGACAAGACAGCATGACAAATGGCAGTCTCGCTTTTTTTTACAGCTGGGAAACAATCTAAATGAACACGTGTCACAATCTCAGCCGAGGAAGGCAAATCTTATCAAGCAAAACACAAAAAAGAAAAGGGTTTGTGCACTCTTTTATTTTATTTTATTTTGGTCATAAGACTAAGTTAATAAAACTCATATTTTTCACTATTTGTGAGATCAGATGAGTGGGAAATGGATATTATATATTTGCCATTTCACATGAAAAAGAAGAAAAGGAAGACTTTTTATTTCTAACTTAAATATATATATATATATATATATATATATATGGATATATTATGTCATTAGGAATCATATAATAGAGGTGAGATGGTGATGGGACAGTCGAAGTGTAAGCATGGAATGCAATGATAAGAGTCAGCGAAGGGGCTGTGACCGCCTTCGCCTCTCTCGTGAGGAGCAAATCCGGACATCACTAGTGCGAGTATTATGGTACCGTAGGCTTGCCATGGATAGCCTACTAAATCGTAGGCTTAGGAAAAAGGAAGCCAGTGGAGTTGTACTCTTTTGACTGTGGAGAGCTCACCATTGGATCATCGTTGTCTTTATCAGATAAAATTAGCTGATCTTTTTAATTATAATTATAAATTTAATTTTATATGTAATTTAAATAAAAAAATTATCATATATAAAGATCGCACATTAATAAAAAATTATGTCGTGGCTCAAACTCAAATATAAAATCATGTCTCGATCTTCGTCGTGATCTTTACTAGATAAACTAATTGATATTTTTAATTATAATTATATATATTTAATTTGATTTAAATAAAATCATGATACATGAAGATTCGAATATTGATAATTATGTTTTTGGCTCAACTCCAATATAAATTCATATCTCAATCTCCACCACGCTTCTGCTTTAGATAAACACATGATGCTACAAAGACTAGATAGACAAGCTAAATTTAATTTAGTTTCTCCTTTAGCTCTCACTAGTGGGATGATTAATGATGTACCTTTATATTTTTAATTTTGGTTCAAGCTTTTTGGAAAGGTGTAAGCATGTTCCCTCTCATGACCAACCACAAAAAAGAAAAGAATAATTGTTCTTGGATTTGCTCCCTTTTGTAATTTAAAGCCCCGACAAGAAGAATTTGAAAGCTTGGAAAAAGTCACTTTGGATATAAATGTAATGCGTAGGTAGAGTGGTTGACACATCTTTTGTGGACTTCATATATAACACATACACACAATAGAATACAAGTGTGGGTTTGGAAGGGGATAAGAACAAATCTCATGTCCCTTCACTCTTTGGTCAAATGAATAAGACTGGCATGTAAAGTTGTGGACTTTCCACCATGGTATAGGATTTTGACTATTAACTAAGCATATAAGACTACTCAATCAAGACAACAACAAAAGGTTAAGACAAGTTAGTTTGTGCAGGAAACAGCTTGCAGGCTCCAAAGCTTTGTTGATCTCATTACTTGTGCCACCTAAATCACAAAGCAACTAAGCAATCTTAGGTGAACATAATACTACATACACCATGAGCATATAGATAAGATGGGTAGGAGAGTGATGGTTTTTGGTGCTAAATGTTGCTTTTCTCAAATGATCCTTTTATTCCATGGGGGTTTGAGTTCAGTATGGACTTGATGTCATGTATGAACTCATTATCTGAACATATCAGGTTGTTCTACAGATTGGAACTGAATCTCCTTGTTTCCTCAAACAGAAACTTGTAGGAACTCAATATATATGATCTTAACACACACACACACACACACACAT